CGTGCTATATCCAACGAATATAGTTAGGACATTCGATCTGACTTATCGATTTTGTCTCGAAAATTTTTAATTGTTTATGGTTGCCAATAGGGAGGGGCGTTAGATATTCTTTATGGTTACAGATTTTGTTTGTTTGTTTGTTTGACAGGAGGGTTATGTATGATGGCTATTTGAATCGGTATTCTTTTGTAAAAGACTGTAGAAAAACCACTCTTGTGCCTTTGAGTTCTGCAAATGTATTTGCTAGTAAATTAAAGTTGGAAGAAAAAAAAGAAAGAGTTTGAGGAAAAAGAGTTAAAAGAAAAACAAGAGTTCAGTGAAAAAATAGGGAAAAATAAAAGAGAAAAAAAGAAGAATGAAAAAGTGATGAAATTGATGAAAAAGGGAAGAGGGAGAGTTATTTGGCTACAGTTGGAGAGGTGAGAAGGCTTTCACAAAAATCGATATTTCTACTTATGTACAATGGAGGATATTTGGTCTCTAACTATAATAACTTGGCTTTGCCTAGTGTTTTACAATCTCTTTTACAGGAATTTGAAGACTACCTCCCATTAGAAGTACTGAACATAAAATAGACTTCATTCCAAGGACTGTCATTCTTTATAAGCCAGCTTATAGAGTCAATCCAACCGAGACAAAAGAAATTCAAAAGCAAGTTGAGGAGCTCATGGAGAAAGGCTATGTACGAGAAAGTTTGAGTCCATGTTCTATACGAGACTTATTCGTTCCAAAGAAAGATGAAACTTGGCGCATATGCATGGATAATAGAGTCATCAACAAAATCACAGTAAAGTATCGACATCCTATTCCTAGGCTAGACAATATACTTGATTTATTGCATGATTCGTGTCTGTTTATAAAGATTATTTTGAAATCTGGATATCATCAAATTAGAATGCATGTAGAAGATGAATGGAAAACAACTTTCAATATTAAGTTTGGATTGTATGAATGACTTGTTATGCCTTTTAGGTTAACTAATGCTCCTAGTACACCTATGCGCTTAATATATAATGTTTTGAGAAAATATATGAGAAAACATGTTGTTGTTTATATTGATGATATTATAATTTATTTGAAGATTTTGCTTAAGCATGTGGGGCATGTTAAATTAGTTTTGATTACACATAGAAAAGAGAAATTTAATTTTAATAAGGGTAGTTTTGCATGGAAAAAGTTCACTCTATTGGCTTCATAGTTGGTAAAAGTAGAGTAGCTTTGGATAGAGACAAAGTTAAATTCATTATGGATTTGCCAACACCAAAAAGTGCACGTAAATTTCGAAGTTTTCATGAGTTAGCTAACCTCTATAAGAGATTTTTAAATGATTTTAGAACCATAACTGAACTATTGAATGACTTAGTGAAAAAGAATGTTGGTTTTAAATGGAGAGGAATGCAAGAGAATGCATTCAATTTTCTTAGGAACAAATTAAGCAATGCATCATTATTTGTTTTGCCTAGCTTTTATAAAACTTTTGAAATTGGATGTGATGCATGTGGTTTGGTCATAATAAGTGTTGTTTTAATTCAAGATGAAAAGTCGTTAGTGTATTTTAGTGAAAAACTAAATGGGGAAACATTGAAATACCCTACTTATGATAAAGAATTGTTTGTAGTTCATATATTGCATGTGCCACAACACTACTTATGATCTAGAGAATTTGTGATCCACTTTGATCATGAAAACTTGAATTATGTGAAGGGTCAAAGCAAACTGAACCGTAGACATGCAAAGTGGGTGGAATTTATTGAAACATTTTCGTATGTCATCAAGTATAAGCACGGTAAGGATAATAGAGTAGCTCATGTGTTATCTAAAAGGTATGATCTCTTTACTTCTCTTACTGCAAAAAATTTTGAAGTTGAGCATATTATTGAATTATATAGGGATGACCAAGACTTAAGAACTATTTATGCATCTTGTCTTGCAAAAGAAGTGGTAGATGATTATTATGTGTTTCATAATTTTTTAATTACTAAGAGTATGTTTTGTATTCCTAAATTCTCTATAAAAGATTTTTTTTTTTAGAGAAGCATATGGTGGTGCCTTAATGGGACATCTTGTTGATAAGATGTTGCATAAATGCTTTTGTTGGCCGAAGATGAAGCATGTGGCAGATAGATTTACATTTGATCAAAACATTTCAAAAGAGGTGATGGAAAGAAGGTGATGAAACAAATGGACCTATTTCCAGGAAGATTAAAAAAAATATGTCAACAATAGAATTCGCACCTACGTGAGAAAATTCAATTAATTTCAAGTCATCACATTAGCCGCTCAAGCACATCAACATTTATTAGAAAAAACTATGTTTAATTTCATAAATTATGTAAAAGTCAAATGGTCAAATTGACTTATTCTTTGTGGAGATTAAAGGGGATCGGGAATAAATCTCATCCACAAACATGTCGAATAAATACCGTCCACAAACATCTTTTGTCGGGAGACTATAAATACCCACAATATGTTGTGTAAAATTCAGATTCATGGATGAATGTAATTCAGATCTCAAATTGAGACGTTTCCCTTAGAAATCTGAGCATCATATTTGCCATTTCTAAGTTTCAAGCAATTCTTGTGGTAGAATTGCACCCGAACCATTCAATCAAGCCTTGAGCAAGTTAGATTGTGGAGTGACTCAATTTAGAACAAGGTTTCCAAATCTTGCTTTAGATCTTCGATCGTAAAAGGTAATCTAATTCTAGCCTTATCTCTTGGTTGATCCAAATTTCGTATAAGGAAATGTTAATTACTTTTGATTCAAGGGTTCTTGCTTCAACAAAAGTTTAGATCGTTGGGCTGAGGATTAGGGTTGCCTTATCACCTACCCTAGGGTATTAGAAAACACTAACTGCATGAAATAAGGACTTTTCTAACAAAACGAATTGCGCCACATCTTCTTTCTTCAAGACTCCTTGGAAACAGCTGACCAAAAGCAACCTTTCTCCTGGTGTGAGCTTAAAAAAGAATGGAAGTAGGATGCGCGTTCGTTCCTATCCCATTGGTCGAGCGTCTTCAACCCTCTCCCTTCCGGTCGAGCACTTCGTTCCTAACTTGTACAAGTCAGTGAGAAATCCCAACGCACAAGCACTAAGTAAGCCCTAAAGGCGGAAGGGGCCCTTTCTTTGGTGTGGATTGCCGCCATAATCCCGAAGCCTATTAAGATGAAACCCGCTCGACTCGTACTTTTTTCATTGAATTGAAAGGGAAGCACTAGGGGAACGTCTTTCAATAACTAAGTTCTTACCTAAGTGGTTCGTTGACCAGCCTTTGCTCGGGAGGAGGAGTTGCCTTCGGGAGGATAAGTATCTGGATTGTAATCTGAGAGTCTTCCTCGATGTGCACCTACCTCACTTTGAATAAAAAACATATGAAAATCCCGGGCGAAACCCTCTGCTCGGTTATTGGTAGACTGGGGATCGAATAGCAAGTACCCAGAACCAGCCATCATAATCTAGAAGAATAAGACCTCTGGCCCCGTCCCATTGAGAGGCAGAGCCATCAAACTCCTCTCCTGTAAACCCTTCTTATGAATGAGTCAAACAGATTGAACTCTGTAAAGCAATTCCATTGCTTGATGAACCTATTCTTTCTAATTGAATTGCCTATCCTTCCTTCTTTCACTCCTGCTTCTTCACCTATTCTTAATTGAACTCACAGCTTTGCTGCTCTCTTTCTTAGCCGAGCTAGCTTTCTTTTATTCCCATTCCCTAATTTCACTCCTCTCCCTATCGGTCGAGTGGCTTCATCGCTCCTGAACCCGGAACAATAATAAAATCAGACTGAATCGAAACCCTTTTCCTTCTTTCACTCCTCGTCTCGCTGCTTGGCCCCTTGACCTTCTTTCACTCTTTGACTCGGTAAGGTAAACAGTGGGATTCTTCTTTCACTTTTGAACCCTGTAAACTATCAGTCTTCTTTGCGCTCCTGAACCTATCCCCTTGATTGAACTGTAAGGACGGATTCCTTATGAATGAGAGTGCACTCCTGGCTGGACTATTACTGATTAACCTTCTTGAACGGTAAAGTGGCTTCGCACCTTTTCTCTCATCTTCATTATCCTTCCCCACGTCTTCTTGATCCTTTTGCTACTTACTCATGACCCTTTTCCTTCGCTGGTTGGTTACCTCCTCTCTCTCTGTCTTACTTGAACCCGGTAAAGCTCCTTTTCTCTCTCCTATGGGTTATTTTTCTTGTCTTTCTCCTTCAAGTGTTTTGTTTCAAGTAAAGACTCTACTCTGGATGCATTCTCTTTTTCCTTCTAGAACTACTAGCTGAACACCCATTTATTCATTGTCGTTCTCTTCTCTGTTCTTTCCCGAACAGTAACCAAGGTCAAGCTTCTTCTTCCTTCTTTCTTTCACTATACTATGTTTATGGTCTCGTTGCTGGGCTCCTCTCGCTCCCGGTCTCATTGTTGGGCTCCTCTGCCTACTTACTCCTCTCCTTCACTCAATCACTTTCAGAACTGTAAACATTCTACTCAAGACTAAACTGAACCCTTAACCTTTTCCTGATTTCCGAGGTAAGTCAAGCTAAATTCATTCAATCCTTTAGCTCTACAACTCAGTAAAGTGTCTTTCTTTGCCCCTACCCCTGAACCTCTCCTATCAGCTTCTCTAAGGAATGGAATAGCGCACCAACCCACTCTACTTACGAACGGATTCTTTTAAAAAACACTAATAAAGTTCCCTCAGTCCTCCCTCTCCCTATCGGTTTCATAGCTTCGTTCCTTTTCATCCTATTTATTCACTGTAATCGAGAAAGACTCAACTCCTTATTTTATTCATTAGACAGATTGAACTCGTAAACTATCAGCTTTTCATTCTGCTCGTAAACTACCAGCTTCTCTCTAAACCCTACCCCTCTATTCCCTGAACTTTACAATTCAAGAATCAAGGGAGAATCAGATATTCCTTTCTTTCTTTACATGCGAGTCAATGAATATTCAATCCTGTAGAATCAACTGAAAGAGAAGCAAACTCATGAACCTGAACCTTCTTTCTTTCACACTCTTACAAGGTAAGTAAAGGGGCTGGATGAGAAAGTGTTTCAAGACTCCTTATTAATGAGAGTGAACTCCGTAACCAGCAAGTAAGAAAACGAGGAAGGTCAGTGGTTGACACTTTGCGCTCCTGAACCTATCTGTCTCATTGCTTCTTTCTTGCTTGCTTTCACTCCTAAACCTGTCTTCCCTAATTGAACCTATTGTATTGATTCTTTCTCCTTCACCTATTCTATTCGTCTCTCAGCTGAGATTACCTGATTTTCTGGGACTCACAAGCACTAAGCCAGTTCTTTGCCCAGATTAAGTTCCAGATAAAGAAGATGAGAGTAACCCTAGGACTTCTTTCACTGACTTGTAAGAAAAGAAGAAGAAAGAAACCTTTTCCTCGGTTTGGCTTCTGAACCTGTCGGTCTGACTGCTTGCTTCGCTGCTGAACCGTAACCTATTCATAATCTTTCATCCTTTCTTGATTCTCAAATGAAAGATGAATGAGAGTTTACCTTTATAAAGAATAAGGAGAAAGACGAAAGAAAGATTCATATGAGACTTAACTTCTTTCCTTTACCTATTTACCGAGATGAAAGACAGACAAGAAGAAGAAACCTTAAACCAGACCCCTGGAAGGGAGAAAGCAAGACAAGATTCATTCAATCCTGAACCTCTATTCCCCCCTTGACCGGAACCGCGTAAACTCGTCTTCTTCCTTCACTGATATTACCTGCCCGAAACCTATTCTATTAGTCTCACTTCGGCTCCTACTTATTCTTGAATGAAATCCATAAAAAGAGAAAGATGAAAGGAAAGATTAATTCTTGTTTACAGTCTTTGAAGGGAGTCAATTCATGGAACCAGATTGAACTGAAAAAGAAGGATTTTCTCATTCACTTGATGAACCGTAACCGATAGAGAAAGAAGGGAGAGAGACAAAAGAAAGATTCCTTCTCTTGATTTCACTCTTGAACAAGGAAGGTAAGTCAAGCGGCTGGCTGGATGAGAAGAAGAAGAAGCCGAAAACCAACCTTTTCCTTCTTTCACTTACTCTCGTGCCTGTAAGAAAGATGAATGAGACTTATGAACCTATTTATTAAAACACTACGTAAAGCAGCTAATGAATTTACTTTCACTGCTTGCTTCGCTCCTGTAAACAAAGACTCCCTCCCTCCTTATTAATTATCCTTGACTACTGAACGAACCTTGTTTTCTCTTCTCCTTTCTTGAACAATAAACTAAGACTCAATGCAAGAGAGTTTACGAACTGAACCTGATGGAACTCCTCTCCCTATCCTTTAGGGTCGTCTCGTTGCTGCGCTCCTCTCAAACACAAGGTAATTTTGAAGTCAAGACTCAAGAGAAAACCTTCCCCTTTTCCTATTTATCCTTTATGGTCTCTCATCTGCTGAACCTTCAAAGACTATAAACTCAGCTTGGCCCCTTTCCTTTCCTCTTCCTTCTTAACTGTGCCTTCCCTTTTTCTTGACTCTATTCCCTGAATTGTGAGTTATTCGTGAACAGAACCTTCTTAAACTTACTACTCTCTCTCCTGTAAGAATGAGAGTGACTTCACTCCTCTCCCTATCGGTCGAACTGTTTCACTCCTCTGCATATTTCTTCCTTCAAAAAGGTAAAGCAGCTGGATGAGAATTATGAAGGTCAAACTCCTTTTCTTTTCCTCCATTCATTCTCCTTAACTCAATCACTTGTCCTTCTATTTATTCTTTCTTGAACAGTATACTCCCTCCTTTTCTTTCTTTCTTTCACTCAGTAGGTAAATGGGTTAAAGCATCTTATGTTCTGTCATTTCCCTTTCCGGTCTCTTTTCTGTTCTTTCCTGGCCCTAATGGAACTCTAAAGCAATTATGATCAGCTTTTCTTCTATTCCCTTCTTGAACTAACTGTAAAGACTCAACTCTCAGTTCTTTCTCTTTAACTCCTTGTTCTGTACTACTAGTACTTGTTCTGTTATTCTTTCACATTTAACTCTAGAGGGAAAGAAAGCATATGAAATCCTGATTGACCTTTTTTCCTCTCCTGTCTGTAACCAAAGATTGACCGAAAGCCCCTCATTCTCCTTCACTCCTATCCTACACCTATTCCTGATCCTATTCTATCTAATTTTATGGGTCTCATTGCTTCGCTCGCTCCTTCATTCCCTTCTATTTATTCCCTTCGTAAACAAACACCTATTTATTCTGTCTGGAACTGATCTTTCTCCTTCCCCTTTAGAAAAGAGAGAGATTAATGAGACTGAACCTGATTTCACTCTGTCTTCGTCTTCGCTCCTGGACTATTACTAATTAACCTAATGGAACTCTTTGACTTCCTCTACAGTAATAAAGAGTAAAGATTAAGTAAGGATCCTTCTCCTTCACTTTGTCTGTCTTCTTCTTGTCTTCTTTTTGTCTTCTTTCTTCCTTCATTCACTCTGAAACCGTAACCTTCTCCTGTCCCTTCTTTCACTCCTTCCCTTTTAGAGTTATAGTCGGTAAAAGAGTAAAGATTAATGGGACTTCCCCTCGTAAACTATCTCTCTCCTTTTGCTATGGAATCTTTTTCTTCTCTTTCTCCTGTCCCAACTTACTCAACCGAACCCCTGCCCTTTCCTTCCCTCAGTAAAGCAGCTAATGAATTGACTCTGACTGCTTGCTTTTCTTTATTCTTGAAAAATGGTTGAACTAGGTAAGCTGTTAAAGAAGAAGAAAAGACTAATCTGGCCGGCTGGCTGGCTTCTTTCTCCCGCCCCTTCGCCTCGGCTTCTATCTCATCTCTTTGCTCCTACAAAAACTCATACGGTGTGCGTGTCTCTCTCCTACTCCTGAATGAACCTCTACAACTCTAGGTCTCCCGGCTTCACACAATCACCTGTCGGTCTCACTGCTCCTCTCCTTCTTTGTTGAAAACAACTCAAAGACTAACACTCTGTCTTCGTCTTCTCTTTTCCTTTACCTTTCCAAAGACTAAGGGGAAAGACTGAAGCAAGATTCCATGAGAGTTGACTCCTTTCCCTATTTATTCAAACATAGTGAGAGAAGGGAGACTAAAGTTCTCCTATTCCTAATTGCATTGTAACCAAAGTCTCCTATTAATTATCCTGAACCTTGCCTTCACTCTATAAAAGATCAATGCTTTTTCCTTCCTTATTAATGAGAGCATATTCTCTCTCTCCTGTCCCTGATTGAACTCCGGCCAGAACCTATGGATTCTTTCTCCTTCTCCTATTTATTTATTCAAACACGAGGTAAACTGAAATTCCATTGTCTGGCTGGCCGAACTATTACTAATTGAACCATGTAAAGCATATTCAATTCATTCTCCTTAACTACTGGCTGGCTGGATGTTCACTTCGCTCCTCTTCTTTACAGTCTCGCCGCTTCGCGCCTGATAAGGCAACCCTAATCCTCAGCCCAACGATCCAAGCTTTTATTTTAGCAAGAACCCTTGAATCAAAGTAATTAACACCTCCTTATACGAAATTTGGATCAACCAAGAGATAAGGCTAGAATTAGATTACCTCTTACGATCGAAAGATCTAGAAGCAAGATTTGGAACCTTGTTCTAAATTGAGTCACTCCACAATCTAACTTGATCAAGGCTTGATTGAATGGCTCGGGTGCAATTCTACCACAAGAATTGCTTGAAACTTAAAAATGGAAAATATGATTCTCGGAGTTCTAAGGGAAAGGACTCAATTTGAGATCTGAATTACATTCATCTACGAATCTGATTTTTACATAACATATTGTGGGTATTTATAGTCTCCTGACAAAAGACGTTTGTGGCCGGGATTCAATCCCGATCCCCTTTATTCTCCACAAATGACGAAGTCAATTTTGACCAATTGACCATTGCAAAATGAAAACAAAAAAAAAACAATAAAATCTTTCAACAAATGTTGATATGTTTGAGTGGGTAAAGAAATAAACTTGAAATCTATTAGGGGCTTCACTTGTGTAGATTCAAACCCTGTTGTTGACATTTTTAATGTTTGTTGAATCTTCTTCGCCTTGGATCGTGTAATAGGTCCAGTTGGAACATTTGGAACATCGTGATTCTTATCAGCGCCTCTTCCTGACCTCTTCCCTTAATTATTTATCCAATTTATTCACTCTGTAAACTAAGAAAGAATGTGAGTGGGGGTGTCCTATGCAATGAGTATTGCATAAGATCGGACCATGAAGAAAATCACTCTGATCGGACCATGAAGAAAATCACTCTCACTTTATAATATCGTTTACTGTTGAGACTGATTTTTTTTTCATTCGATGACCTAGGTAACTCGATCTTAATCCTGAGCTAACCATGAACTCCTATTTATTTGGAATTATCCATAGATTTGCATGGGTGAGAGTGGTTCAAGTTCGCCGACTCAATAGGCCTCCAATTTTAGGGGTAAGACTGAGTAAATGGCTGGGGACGTGGGGTGCAAGATGAAATTCACTCCTACCCACTTTTAGGGATAGAAGAGAGGTAGTTCCCTTAAGTACTGACTTCAGGTCTTGAACAAGTAGCCCCACCCTCTCATTGGCCTTAGAGGGATTCGGTTTACTGGTTGGATCACAAACCAATTGTTCATTAGAGGATCAGTGAGACATAAGAAACAAGAAGTAACTTCAGGGGTAAAACGGTAAATTGACCCAACTCTAGTTACGAACAACCTGTGAAGGATCGACTTACTAATCATGGTTATATGAAATGGACAGAACTATATCTACAGTGAGGGGAGTGCAACTACTAGGCTATAGTGGAATGTCTTAGTAGTTAACGAATGTTGGTTAACAAGGTTAATGAGTTTAACCGGTTAATCTTGGATCGTTGGAGCCCATGATCTATACGTCCATTAGGTCCCTCTGCTAGCTCATATCGAACTAAACCATAGAACAATATGACGAGTGAGTTCGAAATGTTCGAATTCAAATTAGGGAGAATGCCCTACATATATACTATATTTAACCGTTTTTCTTAATCAAATATGTGTCGGAATTAATTGGGATTGGCATTTGAGTTAATATTAAATATTAATTAAATAGTTTAATTAATCATTTAATATTACTTTAATTTGAAATTAATAATTCAAATTGATTGTTGAATCAAAATGAAGAAAGTCAAAATGTTGACTTCATCTAATGGAAAAATCCATGTTAGTGGAATTTTGAGGTGTCAAAATTTCGTTTAACCAAACTTGCATGCTTGCCAAATAAACCCCACAAATTTGAGTGGAATTTTGAGTGTCAAAATTTGGTTAACTCAAGCATGCATGCATGCCACATAATCTCAAACATTTGAGTAGAATTTTGAGTGTCAAAATTTGGTGATCTCAAATTTGAATGAACATGGAAACATGACTCTATAAATAGAGTGATCATAATACATGAAAGACCTTCTTCTTGGTGAAAAACCTTTCGAAAAACCTCTCACAAACACTCTCTTCATATATACAAAATCCCTCCTAAGTTTAAGTCACTCACTGAATTCCACAATCCCGTTCTAAGGCCGGAGGATAGTGGAGAAGACATTAGTGGTGGTTCGAAACCGGTTCATGAGGAAAAAGGAATTTGAACTACAAAAGGTTAGTATTCAAACTCATTAAGTTTTAATACTTATGAACATGCTAGTTATTTACTATAATTGATGTTTTAAAAGTGCCTAAGATCCAAATTGCTTCCGCATGTGTTATATTAACACCATCATGAGAGTGGCTTCTCTTTTGCCCCTAACCCTCTATTGCCTGAACTACTGAACCTGTCCCTTCTTGTTTTCACTCCTCTCCCTATCTTTTGGGCTATTGAACTTTTTCACTCGGTAAAGAATATTCAATGAATGAGAGTGAACTCCTTTGACTCTATTCCCTATTTATTCTTTCACTCGTTGTTATTCTTTCACTATTTTACGGTCTCATAGCTTCGCTTATTCGCCTCTACACCTCGGGCTCATAGCTTAGCTCCTTCCCTTCACCTTTGACTGATTGAATGAGGTAAAGTAATTCATTCCATTGCCTTTTCTTTTCCTCTACTCTATCTATTCCCTTGCCTTCTTTCTTTCCCTTGGGGTAGTCTCATTCACCTGTCTGTCGGTTGAACCCATTTATTGCCTGAACTACTAAACGAACAAACA